TGAAGCACAAAACAGTCAAGTTAATTAAAAGGCAACTCACAACTGGCAGTAAATTTTAATGATTGAGAAAATGCTTGGAAGAATTTTCCATATCTGAGACAGGCATAGTTTGTTACTTTTTTAATGATCTCAGGAATTTCCCAGATACAAAGTCTCCATCATTCAAGCAAATATATGTATAAACGAAGGAGAAGAAAGAATGTGCAAGGTTTGCACAAATTCCTGAGAGAAGTTCTTCTCTGCGCAGATTATTCTTACTTCCTTTTTAGTGTTTTTTTTTTTTTTTTAATACTGGAGAATAGAGACCATTTTGTGCTATAAACAGGGTAAGAGAGTTGGTGGTTGTCATTACCTTTTGCCCATGACTTTTGTCCAGAGGAGATAAGAGTGGGACTCCGAATGTCCCTCCCCTTTGAAACTGTTTACCTTTCATGTCAAGGGAACTTGGTTTTGAAGTATGAATAAGTTTTGATTTTTTAAAAATACTTCGACACCAGATGACATTATTTGAAAAGTACAGCGGTTCCCCGCTCCCTTTATCTAAGGGGGAATGCATTCCAAGACCTCCAGCAGATGTCTAAAAACATGGGTAGTACCAAACCTTATATGTACTATATTTTCTTATACAAACCTACCTAAGATAAAGTTTAATTTATAAATTAGGCACAATAAGAGATTAACAACAATAACTAATAACATAATAGAACAATTATAATAATACACTAATAAAAATTAATGTGGTCTCTTTTCTCTCTTTCTCAAAATATCTTTTGTTAAATTAAATTTTTTTTTAATTGAAGTATGGTTGATTTGGGCTTTCCTGGTATCTCAGCTGGTAAAGAATCCTCCTGCAATGCATGAGACCCCAGTTCAATTCCTGGGTCAGGAAGATCCCCTGGAGAAGGATAGGCTACACACTCCAGTATTCTTGGGCTTCCCTGGTGGCTGATGTGGGAGACCTGCAGTGTGGGAGACCTGGGTTCGATCCCTGGGTTGGGAAGATCCCTGGAGGCAGACATGGCAACCCACTCCAGTATTCTTGCCTGGAGAGTCCCCACAGACAGAGGAGCCTGGCGGGCTTCAGTCCATGGGGTCACAAAGAGTTGGACACGACTGAGCGACGAAGGACAGCACAGCACTGTTGATTTGTAATGCTGTGTTAATTTCTGCTATATAGCGAAGTGATTCAGTTTCAAAACATCTTATCACACAAATACAATGCCTTTTCTATTGTAACTAAGCACTTACCATGCACTGTGACAGTAACTTTTTGCAGTTTTTGGCAAACTAGCATGAATTTCTTTTTCCGTCTTCACTATTTTATGGATAGAAGATTCATTCTTACCTTAGATCTTAGCAAGCTCAGTATATGATTTTTTCTTTCCTTATTAAGTTTAGAAATTTCAACTTTTCACTTTAAAGAAAGCAATTTACAGCTTCTCTTTGGCATATTCATGTTGCCAACCTCTCTATTCTTGTACTTTGAGGCTGTTATTAAGTAAAATTAGGCTACTATATGTCTAAGAGGCAGGATATGCTGGACAAAGGGATGATTTAGGTCCTGGCCAAGACAAAATGGCATAGCAAGAGATTTCATCATGCTACTCAAAACAGTGCACAATTTAAAACTTATGAACTGTTTACTTCTGGAATTTTTCATTCAGCATTTCTGGACCATGGTTGATCATGGTAAATGAAACCATGGAAAGCAAAATCACAGGAAAGGGGGGACTACTCCAATGTCAAAATTCTCCAAGCCAGGCTTCAGCAATACGTGAACCGTGAATTTCCAGATGTTCAAGCTGGTTTTAGAAAAGGCAGAGGAACCAGAGATCAAATTGCCAATATCCACTGGATCATCAAAAAAAGCAAGAGAATTCCAGAAAAACATCCATTTCTGCTTTATTGACTACGCCAAAGCCTTCGACTGTGTGGATCACAATAAACTGTGGAAAATTCTGAAAGAGATGGGAATACCAGACCACCTGACCTGCCTCTTGAGAAACCTGTATGCAGGTCAGGAAGCAACAGTTAGAACTGGACATGGAACAACAGACTGTTTCCAAATAGGAAAAGGAATACGTCAAGACTGTATATTGTCACCCTGCCTATTTAACTTATATGCGGAGTACATCATGAGAAACGCTGGGCTGGAAGAAGCACAAGCTGGAATCAAGACTGGGGGGAGAAATATCAATGACCTCAGATATGCAGATGACACCACCCTTATGGCAGAAAGTGAAGAGGAACTAAAAAGCCTCTTGATGAAAGTGAAAGAGGAGAGTTAAAAAGTTGGCTTAAAGCTTAACATTCAGAAAACTAAGATCATGGCATCTGGTCCCATCACCTCATGGGAAATAGATGGGGAGACAGTGGAAACAGTGTCAGACTTTGTTTTTTTGGGCTTCAAAATCACTGCAGATGGTGACTGCAGCCATGAAATTAAAAGATGCTTACTCCTTGGAAGGAAAGTTATGACCAACATAGATAGCATATTAAAAAGCAGAGATGTTACTTTGCCAACAAAGGTCCATCTGGTCAAGGCTGTGGTTTTTCCAGTGGTCATGTATGGATGTGAGAGTTGGACTGTGAAGAAAGCTGAGTGCCGAAAAATTGATGCTTGTGAACTGTGGTTTTGGAGAAGACTCTTCAGAGTCCCTTGGACTGCAAGGAGATCCAACCAGTCCATCCTAAAGGAGATCAGTCCTGGGTGTTCATTGGAAGGACTGATGCTGAGGCTGAAACTCCAGTACTTTGGCCACCTGGTGCAAAGAGCTGACTCATTGGAAAAGACCCTGATGCTGGGAGAGATTGGGAGCAGGAGGAGAAGGGGACGACATAGGATGAGATGGCTGGATGGCATCACCGACGTGATGGACATGAGTTTGAGTAAACTCCGGGAGTTGGTGATGGACAGGGAGGCCTGGCGTTCTGTGATTCATGGGGTCACAAAGAGTCGGACACGACTGAGTGACTGAACTGACTGACTGACTCTAATGTCAATGCCAGCAAGGGCTAGGAGCAGTGTGTGTGTGCATGCTAAGTCACTTCAGTAGTGTCTGACTCTTTGCAACCCCGTGGACTGTAGCCCGCCAGGATCCTCTGTCTATGGGATTCTCCAGGCAAGAATGCTTGCTAGAGTGGGTTGCCATTCCCTTCTCTGGGGAATCTTCCCAACCCAGGGATTCAACTGACATCTTCTACATATCCTGCTTTGGCAGGCAGGTTCTTTACCACTAACGCCACCTGGGAAGCCCTAGGAGCAGTGTGGATATTATCTTTTTTTGTTTGTTTTTAATGGGAATGAAAGAACAATAAAACCACTTTGACTAGTCTTTGTATCCCAAAGTCCTAAAACATTGCCTGAGGACCCTAACAGAATCAAAGTAAGTTCTGTGCTATAGGGTGCTGGGGTGGAGGCAGGAACCTTCCAAATTTGACAAATCCTAGTTCTTGCCTGGAGAATCCCAGGAATGGCGGAGCCTGGTGGGCTGCCGTCTATGGGATTGCACAGAGTTGGACACGACTGAAGCGACTTAGCAGCAGCAGCAGCAGTACATTACATCTATAAGGTGTGTGTTTGACTGAGAGGTGACTGAACCCACATAACTTTCCTGACATGTACCACTAATGGTTAGAATATTGGGGATACTGTTTATTCTTAATATCATCTGATACTGATTTTTTTCACCAATACCACATTTTCCTGATTATTGTTGCTTTATAGCAGGTCTTCAAATACAGTAGTTTATTATTTTTTTATTTTTTTTATCGAGAATACTTTTTATTATACAAGTTTCATATACACAACAATTATTTAGGGAACATTTACAGGCAAGGAGTTCAATTCCAAAACTCCATTTTCACCCACACGCACTGTACCTCGCACTGTACCTCTTCGGGGGGTCAGCCCAACAGGAACAAGACAAAGTTATTGCTTTGTGGACAGACAGTTTCAATTAAATAAGAGTCTTCCAGAGTCAAGAACAGAGCTGAAGATCCTCTTAACTCTTAATACCCTGTGTACATATGAATAAAACCTAAAGATGTGTCTTAGATTACCCCGTCACCTTTAAAAGTTAATATTAAAATCGAATCCCATTTCTCAAAAAGTCATAAGAAGTGCACCCATATTTACAGACCCCATTAAATTATGCATAAATAAAATCTGTACACTCAACACAGTTTCTCAAAATACAGAGCCTCCTCTGGGACTAGGGGATGACAGACAGCAAAAAAAAAAAAAATGCTCTATGCCTACCCTTTTCAAGTTTCACTAAGATGTGAAATAAATATGCAAAATAAAGCTTCCATACCTTAAAGGAATATGTCATTTCGAAAAGTCTCCTCCTTGAAGAGTTAACTTTCAAAGTTTTTTTTTTCTTTTAAAGAAAAAACATAAAGTCATCAGCAGGCTTTGTTTCTACAAGTTTCCTAAAACCGAAGGGCCCCTTTGAACAAGGGGTTTTAAAGTGTTACAAATGCCACCTATTAACCAGTTGCTAGGTGGACAGAATCCTTGCCTCCTATCGGTATGCAAGACAAGGCTAAAGAAACTACATAAATACTTTTACCTCAACACTAAAAGTTATTGTTGATCTGAATCCCATCAATTTGACCTTTCAACAGCTGAGTGAATGTGAGTTTTTGTTAGCCGGGGGATTTATTTAAAAGGTTTGAAAACTTGTAGCACCACTTCCAGAGTAAGGAAGAATGGGGTTCCAAAAAAATAAAATATAAGCTTAATGAGTGAAGAACCAGTACTTCCAACATCTTGTCCAGAGTTAAGGAGACGCTTCAGCACTCCCTAAACACTAAGGAATCCAGGAGGGCATGTGAAGAGCTGGAAATTGATGGAGGCCCTTTCTCATGGGAAGGTGGGTAACAACGCTGCCCCCCACCCCCCAGGTAAGTGGGGTGCCCAGTCTGCCCTGGTCGAGATGATCTGGGAGTCCTTTTTGTTCCAAACTCTTCGGCCCTTGGTCCACCACCCCCTCATTTTACTTCCTGTGCTTCTCCAACTTCTCCAAGGTTTTGCTAGAATCGGCTGGACTCTGGTCTCCGGGATTCATGTAGGATTTGTCTATGACTATCAGGGCCTCTTTTATGTAGTTCTGCACGGCAGACACTGCAGCACAGATGGCCTGGCTGCCAAACCCGTGGGTAATCAGGCTGAAATGAGACAAGCAGTTCTGAATGTTGGTCTCCAGGACTGGGGTGGGTCGGTTGTTCCCGTTGGGAATTCGGTCTTGATTGAGGAGATCTGTAAATTCTTTACACACTTGCTGTGCGGCCAGCAGCATGTTCTTCCTAGTTGCTATCTCATTCTGCCCACCGAGATGAGGTCTGGTTAAATACTCAGCCACAGATTTACTAGGAAATTCTGCTTCACAGACATAGGCAAAGTCCCAAGCCAAATGAACTGCCTCACCTTCCACAAGAGACGTCAGGAGGGTGACGTGAGCCGCTTTCCGTCTCCCGGCTGGAAGATTCAACCCAATCTTATCCAACTTCTCCCGCAAGGACCGGCCACCATTTTTAGACTTGGCTCTTCTGAGAACACCTCCCAGTAATGAGGCATTTAAGCACTCAGGCGGGGCCAGCCGCCTCTGGACTTCAGCAACTGTCACTTTGTATTCAGATGTAGAGTTGAGGAGGGACAGTCTTCCAGGGACTGAGCAGAAGACCTCGCTGGGATTCATCACAGCCCCCACCAGCTCCTTCTGACAAGGGAGACTCAGGGGGTTCTTGGTCATGGAAATAGGACCTTTGCGAATAACTGTCCGATCATGCAGAAGTAGGTGCTGGTCGTCCACATTCTGCACCTCCTCCATCGGGTGTGCCATGTCGTGGAGCCCCAGGTTCTCGGCCAGGCCCGCGGCGTGCAGGGCGTGCGAGTGGGGCAGTAGCAGGTCCGAGCGTCGGTAGGCCTCCCTGCGAGCGCTCACGGCGCCGCCGTCCAGTCCGGAGAGATGGGGCGACAGGCCGGCCGGGCGCCCGTGGTGCGAGGGCAGGCCGGCCCCCTCCTGGCTCTGGCGGCCCGGCCAGGCCTGCTGCTGGCTGCCGGCGGGCGCGGGCTGGTGCAAAGGATTGATGGCAGCGGCGTACGCCTCTCCAAGGTGCGAGCAGGGGTCGGCCGACTGAGAGTAAGCCAGCTGCTGGTAGGGAGGCGCAAAGTAGGGGGGCGGCTGGTATTCGGCGACTGCGGTATGGGAGAGGGGCGGCGCGGGGCTGTAGAGATGCTGCCCGGCGGAGGAGAGGTGAGGCAGGCGCGGGTTCCCATTGCTGCTCGCGTCGTGGCGATCCTTTAGGTACTGGAGATTCATGTTTCCAGCGCTTCGACCCTCTGCGAGCTGAGGTTTTTTAAGAATGGGAGCTACGGCGGCAACAGGTCCCCAAGGGCCGCGTCCAAATACAGTAGTTTAAATCTTTCAACTTTATTTATTCTTTCTAAAGTTGTTTTACTATTCCAGGTTCTTTGGAACTTGTTAGTTTCTATCAAAAAGGTTTCTCAGCTTTTAACTGAAGTTGCAGTGATTATATAGCTCAGTTTAGGAGAGAATTAACAATATCGAGTTTCCCAAACCATGAATATAGTATACCTCTTCATTTATTTAAATCACCTTTAGCACCATGGTGGCTCAGATGGTAAAGAGTCTGCCTGCAATGCGGAAGGCCTGGGTTCAAGCCCTGGGTTGGGAAGATCCCCTGGAGAAGGAAATGGCAATCCACTCCAGTACTCTTGCCTGGAAAACCCCATGGATGGAGGAGCCTGGTAGGCTACAGTCCACAGGGTCGCAAAGAGTTGGACACGACTAAGCGAATTCACTTTCACTTTTATTTCTCCTCACAAATGCTGTTTTCAGTGTATATATTTTATTAAACTTACTCCTATGCATCCCATAGTTTTTGATGCTATTGTAAATAGTATTAAAATTATGTTCTAATTGTTCATTGCTGACATACAGAAAAACAATTGACTTTCAAACTACTTTGATCTTGATATGGCACCCTTGTTCAATTTACTTACTAGTTCAAATAGCTTTTCTTGTGGAACTATGTGTATCATAGTGAAATATTTTGACTCTGAGTTAGATGAAAATCAACTAAATGAAGTTAGAGCTAGCAAAGTCTGCTGATAGATCATATGTGGGGTAAGAGAGAACAAATTTTAGAAATTTAATTTTTGAACATGTTAAAGGTAGATATTTAAGGCTATTAGATGAATCTGGAGGTCAGAGAGAGGTCATTGATGAACATATGGATTTGGAAGCACTAGTTTATTAGTGATGCTTAAGCCATTGAATTGATTCAGATCATCAACATTTAGCATCTGAAGTGATGATGAAAAATCAGCAAACAGTCTGAAGAGGAGCAGTCAGAGAGATATGAGGAAAACCAGGTACATGTGGTTCCCTGAAACCAGGAAGAAGGCAGTGTTCCAATTAGAGTGGTCTGTTGTTTCAACTATTGCTTATAGATCCAGTAAGATTCAGACTGAGATTGACCTTGCAGTTAATAGATCCCTGGTGGCCCTGATGAGCAGTTGTGGTGGAACATTGGGAGTGAAAACTGGTTGGAGTGCATTGAGAAGGGAAACTGGGGGCCTGAATACAGGGAACTCTTTCAGAGAATTTTGTTCAGAGGAGGGAAAGGAAGCAAAAATTGGAGGTAAGTGGAGTAGAGAGATTCATTTGTGCTTCTGTTTTTGTCTGTTTGTTTCTAGTTATTTATTTGCATGTTGATTTATGGCTGCTCTGGGTTTTTATTGCTGCCCATGGGCTTTCTCTAGGTGAGTCATGTGGGGGCTATGCTTCATAGCAGTGGGCAGGCTCCTCCTTGCAGTGGCTTCTCTTGTTGAGGCATATAGGCTTCGGTAGTTGTGGCTCTCAGTCTCTAGAGCCCAGGCTCAGTGGTTGTGGCGTGGGCTTAGTTGCTCTGCGTGACATATGGAACCTTCTGGACCGGGGGTGGAACCTGTCTCCCTGCTTTGGCAGGAAGACTCTTGTCCACTGTGCCACCAGCGAAACCCCATCTGTACATCTTGTTTGTTTTGTTTTTGAATAGGAGGGAAAATGGCATAAATTTATGCAGCTTTGAATGATCTAGTATGATCCAATGAAATAAAGGAGAGAGGGGAGGCTTGAATGACTGTGGAAACTTAAGAGGGGATGGGATCCAGTGCACAAGGGAAGGAACAGCCTTAGTCGGAAGCACAGATGGCCTATGTACAGTGACAGGAAAGAAGGCAGAGTGGGTGTGTGCTGGTGAATGTGTAGATATCATGGACATTCTCTTCTTATTGCTTTACTTTTCTCATTGAATTCAGTTGGTTAATTCAGTTAATTTTTGTAAAACATTTAGAGTAGTGCCTCAGTTCAGTTCAGTCGCTCAGTTGTGTCTGACTCTTTGCGACCCCATGGACTGCAGCACACCAGGCCTCCCTGGCTATCACCGAATTCTGGAGTCTACTCAAGCTCATGTCCATTGAGTCGGTGATGCCATCCAACCATCTCATCCTCTGTCATCCCTTTCTCCTCCTGCCTTCAATCTTTCCCAGCATCAGGGTCTTTTCCAATGAGTCAGCTCTTTCCATCAGATGGCCAAAGTATTGGAGTTTCAGTTTCATATCAGTCCTTCCAATGAATATTCAGGACTGATTTCCTTTAGGATTGACTGGTTTGACCTCCTTGGTGTCCAAGGGACTCTCAAGACTCTTCTCCAACACCACAATTCCAAAACATCAATTTTTCGGCACTCAGCTTTCTTTATAGTCTGACTCTCACATCCATACATGACTACTGGAAAAACCATAGCTTTGACTAGATGGACATTTGTTGACAAAATCGTGTCTCTTCTTTTTAATATGCTGTCTACATTGGTCATAACTTTCCTTCCAAGGAGTAAGCATCTTTTAATTTCATGGCTGCGGTCACCATCTGCAGTGATTCTGGAGCCCCCCCAAAAATAAAGTCTGCCACTGTTTCCACTGTTGCCACATCTATTTGCCATGAAGTGATAGGACCAGGTGCCATGATCTTAGTTTTCTTAATGTTGAGTTTTACGCCAACTTTTTCACTCTCCTCTTTCACTTTCATCAAGAGACTCTTCAGTTCTTTTTCACTTTCTGCCATAAGGGTGGTGTCATCTGCATATCTGAGGTCATTGATATTTCTCCCCCGCAGTCTTGATTCCAGCTTGTACTTCTTCCAGCCCAGAGTTTCTCATGATGTACTCTGCATAGAAGTTAAATAAGCAGGGTGACAATATACAGCCTTGACGTACTCCTTTTCCTATTTGGAACCAGTCTGTTGTTCCATGTCCAGTTCTAACTGTTGGTGCCTGACCTGCATACAGATCTCTCAGGGGGCAGGTGAGGTGGTCTGGTATCCTTATCTCTTTCAGAATTTTCCACAGTTTATTGTGATCCACACAGTCAAAGGATTTGGCATAGTCAATAAAGTAGAAGTAGATTTTTTTTTGGCACTCTCTTGCTTTTTCGATGATCTAGCGGATGTTGGCAATTTGATCTCTGGTACCTCTGCCTTTTCTAAAACCAGTCTCCAGCAGAGGCTTGGGTTGGGGGTGGCCTGCTGCAGGGTTGGGGGCACTGAGTGTAGCTGTACATGCATGGGATCTTTTGAAGGAGGTCACCATTATCTTCATTACCTCCACCATAGTTTGGCCCCAGGTAAATAGCAGGGAGGGAACACAGATCCACCCATCAACAGATTTACTGAGCATGGCCCCACCCATCATAACAAGACCCAGATTCCCCCTCAGTTAGTCTCTCCAATCAGGAAGCTTCCATAAGCCTCTTATCCTTCTCCATCAGAAGGCAGGCAGACTGAAAACCACAACCACAGAAAACTAACCAATCTAATCCCATGGACCACAGCCTTGTCTAACTCAATGAAACTGTGAACCATGCTGTGTAGGGCCACCCAAGACAGATGGGTCATTGTGGAGAATTCTGACAAAATGTGGTCCACTGGAGAAAGGAATGGCAAACCACTTCAGTATTCTTGCCCTTGAGAACCGCATGAACAGTATGAAAGGGCAAAAAGAGAGGACACTGAAAGATGAACTCCCCAGTTGTAGGTGCCCAATATGCTACTGGAGATCAGTGGAGAAATAACTGCAGAAAGAATGAAGAGACAGAGCCAAAGCAAAAGCAACACCCAGTTGTGGGTGTGACTGGTGATGGAAGTAAAATTGATACTATAAAGAACAATATTGCACAGGAACCTGAAATGTTAGGTCCATGAATCAAGGCAAATTGGAAGTAGCTGGCAAGAGTGAATGTCGACATTTTAAGAATCAGCGAACTGATGCTGTAAAAGTGCTGCACTCAATATGCCAGCAAATTCAGAAAACTCAGCAGTGGCCACAGGATTGGAAAAGGTCAGTTTTCATTCCAGTCCCAAAGAAAGGCATAGCAGTGCTTGGCATGTAATAAATGCTATGCAATCTTTTGTTAACTAGGTGTGTTTTCTTGCTTTCTCAGAATCTGCTCAGGAAATTAATGATGATTGAATACAGACTTTCAGCTTTGCTGTTGAATCCACAAGTGTTGAGCCAGAACTGGCACCTGAGTTTGCACTATAGCTTTATGTTACCTGGGAGGAGATGTGACCTTTTTTGGTAATTGCAACATGTGGATGCTTGTAGCTTCTACCCTATATTCATATAATTATGGAAGCCCGTCCTTTTTTCCTAAATGATCATTATCTTTGAGACACTGTCCTGTTGTTGTTGTCTAAATAGCTGGGCAGAATTTTTAATAGTATAAATAAATAATAAAGGCTAACATAAATAGTCATAGATAGTCAGTGTTTACTATGTAAAAGGTGTTGTGCTAAGTGCTACATATTTGTTATTTATTTAGGACACCCAACAAGCTTATATGCGAGATCATATCATACACATTTTACATTTGTGGAAAAGAAGCTTAGTGAGCATCAAATCACTTGATAAAATTAAGATTCCCGGACTTTTTTCCCCACCAATTGTCATGCTCTTCTGCTATGCCTTTTTTAAATAAGTGAGTTATAATTGAGTGATGGGCAAGATACCTGGGCTTCTATCAGGCAATCCCAGCTCTTACTCCAGCTTAACCGATAACTGGCTGATCGAACTTGAAACGTTACCTCTTAGGGGATTTTTCACCTGTGTTCTGTGAACTCAGATGATCTCTACCAGTCCTTATATCTCTAACATGATGAGATTTTAATATTCTATGATTGTTATTTTGTACTACCCACACTTTTAAGTATCTAGGTCAGAGC